TGTTTATTTTGCTAGACCTGATAGTGTTTTGGATGGTGTTTCAGTTTATAGATCAAGAATTCAAATGAGAGAAAAAATTAGCTGCTAAAATTGAAAAAATTATGGCTAGCGATGATATTGATGTTGTCATTCCAGTTCCTGATACTGCTCGTACCAGTGCTTTCCAATGTGCTGTCAGTTTGAATAAACCATTCCGTGAAAGGTTTTGTCAAGAATAGATATATCGGTAGAACTTTTATTATGCCAAATCAACAAGAAAGAAGATCATCAGTTAGAAGAAAATTGAATGCTATGGATTCTGAGTTCCAAGGTAAGAATGTTTTATTAGTTGATGATTCTATTGTTAGAGGTACTACTTCTAAAGAAATTGTTGCCATGGCTAAAGAAGCTGGAGCCAAAAAAGTTTATTTTGCATCATGTGCACCACCAATTAGATTTAATCATATTTATGGTATTGATTTAGCTGATACTAAAGCATTAGTTGGTTTCAATCGTACTGAAGAAGAAATTGCTCAAGTTATTGGTGCTGATAAAGTTATATATCAAGATTTGAGTGATTTGGAAGAATGTTGTAAATCTGATTTGATTAAAAACTTTGAAGTTGGTGTTTTCACTGGTAAATATACCACCGGTGTTGAAGACAATTATTTACAAGAATTGGAAAAGATTAGAGCTCAAAATCAAAGATTACAACAAAATAAATTAAGAGGATTATCTGTTGATGCATGTATTGATTCAAGTGATGTAATTGATGTTAAAGCTGAAGTTGATATTAGTATTTATAATAGAGGTGATTATGCTGAATAGATTCAAGTAAAGAAAAAAAGAAAACTAAGTAAGTAAATAGAAACTTTTTGTTCTTTTATGTATAGACGATATTTTTTTTTTTTGTAAAGTAATAATAATACGATTAAAGGATTGTAGATTATTTGAAAAGGAAGATTTCCGTAAGAGTCATATCATATAAGTTGTAATTAATCCCAGCATTAAATTAAGATCTACAAAGTATCATTATAAACCGATTTACTACACGTTTTCACTATAATTGAACAATAACCATGGGGAAAGATTACGCGTTATGGGAAACGAAGTACACAATCTTGCTATGGTTATAATTAAACAATAGATTCTGTATCAGTTGACTCTGATATTCATCCGTATACACAAAAGTACCAAAGAAACAATAAACAAGGCACGAATGAGAAAGAGAAAGATAAAAGGAAGTAAATAAGATGATATTGTGTAATGTTAATATCGGTTAACAAAACCAAACAAAAAGCAAAAAGCAAAAAAAGACACGTATTAAACAAAGTAGATTTACATAAAACAAGGCTTTACAGTTTAAATCAGTAAGGAGGAAAAATTTACAAAATACAAATCTTCCAAATAGGTTGGTTTTATTACTTCAACCATCTAGTGATGTTACTGGGTTTTTAATTTAGTTTCTGTCTTATGTAGTGTGCATTTATATTTCTATTTTCTGGCTATTAATAATTTATAGGCGATTAAAGACAACTAAAAATATGAAATTGCATCTCATCACAATTTCAAAAATACTAATCTGAAATTTCCGTTTTCCCAAATGTATATGAACTTAACTTTCTGTAAAAGAACAAGTTGAAAATTCTTGCTATGCATTATCGATTAAATGAAGTACTCATTGATTTTATACCCAAATTTGTTAAAAATATCTTTATATCCTTCATTAATATGTATTAGTTTATTGAACTCCTATTTTTTTTTTTATTGCACACTAAATTGAGACGTGTTCTTGTGGCGCGTCGTGTATTTCTGTCCAAGGAACAGAATTGGCTCCGTGTACACTACCACCTAACAAAGACACGGTTGGAATAATAAGACACTTTTTTTTTGTTGACGCACACGCACTTCTTTAAAAAGAATTGTTTCTTTTTCTTTGGGTTTGTGCGTGTAAAAATAAATTTCAAACACATAATCAACAACAACAACCACCACCACCACCAAAACACCACTTGCTTTTAATTCGAAAAAAAAAATTTTCTACTCTACAGAATTTTTTTTTTTTTTTTTAAATATATATTTATTCCTACTTTCTTTCTTTCTTTCTTTCCTGGTTTTTTTTTTTTTTTGTCATTGATTTGATTATTTTATCAAGGGTTATATTACTTTTATCATCAATTCAATTCCATTTCATTTTGATAGTTCTCGATTTTAAGTCTCTTATTTCGTATACCATCAACTCATCTTCTTCATTTTTAATAATTAACCCAATCCATTGATAACATTGTATGGGAATTATTCTGTTTTATTTAATTGGACAACTATTATATTTAATTAAAAGAAAATACAACACTTATAAACACAACAATAACACAATGGAAACTAAATCTTCAAGCTCATTAGCTAGTTCAATTTCAAATTCTGGTCCTATTTCCATTTTTGCATACTGTCTTTCATCTATTTTGATGACAGTTACCAATAAATATGTTTTATCTGGTTTCAGTTTCAACTTGAACTTCTTTTTATTGGCTGTTCAATCTATTGTCTGTATTGTCACTATTGGTTCTTTGAAATCTTTTGGTGTCATCACTTATAGACAATTTAACAAAGATGAAGCTAAAAAATGGTCTCCAATTGCCTTTTTATTGGTTGCTATGATTTACACTTCTTCTAAAGCTTTACAATATTTAAGTATTCCAGTTTACACCATCTTTAAGAATTTAACCATTATTTTGATTGCTTATGGTGAAGTTATTTGGTTTGGTGGTCAAGTCACTGCTATGGCTTTAAGTTCTTTCTTGTTGATGGTTTTCTCTTCTGTTATTGCTTACTACGGGGACAATGCTGCTGCTAAATCAAGTGATGACACTTTGGCCATGTACTTGGGTTACTTTTGGATGTTTACCAATTGTTTTGCTTCTGCTTCTTTTGTTTTAATCATGAGAAAGAGAATCAAGTTGACTAACTTCAAAGATTTCGACACCATGTACTACAACAACTTGTTATCCATTCCAATTTTGTTAGTTTGTTCATTTGTTTTCGAAGATTGGTCTGCTGCCAATGTTGCTTTGAATTTCCCAGCTGATAACAGAGTTACTACCATTACTGCCATGATTTTAAGTGGTGCTTCATCTGTTGGTATTTCTTATTGTTCTGCTTGGTGTGTTAGAGTCACTTCCTCAACTACTTATTCCATGGTTGGTGCTTTGAACAAATTGCCAATTGCTTTATCTGGTTTGATTTTCTTTAATGCTGCCGTCAACTTTTGGTCTGTTTCTTCTATTTTTGTTGGTTTTGTTGCTGGTTTAGTTTATGCTGTTGCCAAACAAAAGCAACAAAAACAATCCGCTCCTCAATTACCATCCACCAAATAAATAGACAATTGAAATGGGATTCCTCCCCATCATCATTATTATTATCAATTCAATTAACAATTTACCATTAGGAGGTTAAATTTATATTACCATTTCATTAACAAATGTAAAACTAATTAAATAAAGAAAACCTTTTTTATATTCTTAAAAGATTTTATATTTCTTTGTTTTATCATTATTATCATTATTATTCTAGTTTAATAGAGATTTTTTATATATATATTATTATTAGTTCATGGGGTGTTAACGTAGTTGTAAAGTCTTTCATTGATAAGATGTCATTATCTCAAGATATGTTTCAAATTTTATACACTAAAATATGAATAATTAGAGAATATTTGTAAGAAATTCCAGAGTAAAATTTGAAATATTGAACGTGGTATACTCTGTTATGTTGGAATGATAATCATGTGTCCTTGATTATCTTAGACATGAAGTATGATTTGATATCAATGAATTACTTAATCAAAAGTCAATAAATCAATTTTGACAAATTTGTGTAAAAGTACACGACTATAATTTAAGAAGATGATGATTAAGATGAGCAACGAGAAAGAAAAAAAAAATCCAACAATGTTGTTCACTCTTTCTTTTAACAGACATGTATAGTTCTTCGGTAATTCAGCGTTGATGTAAGCAGCCGTTATATCGATTTGAAGTATTACTTATTAAGTTCACAAATTCTACTAACTATTTAAATTATATATTTCTAGCATGATGTTTCAGTATATAACTAACTATTAATATATTATATTCTTTTTGTTGTTTTATCTAGTTTATTTATTTAATTAAAAAAATAATTGATTTGTAGAATACATCATATCTTCTATTATTACATTGTAGAATGAATCTCATATACTAAATGACAAATTGATTTAATAAAACGAGATGTATGGTTGGTTAATATAGAATTGTAAGAAGACCTCGTGTTTCAATTGATGAATTATTAATCTGTCCTTCCTCTCCTAACAATTTTTTTTTAAAAAAAATTATTGGCGCGTTTCGCACGACTAGGAAAAGAATGTCATGAAATCCAGGGTATAAAAGGAACTCAAATATCCTCTCTTCCAGTAAGATGAATTTTTGTTTTCTATATTTTGAAAATAGGCGTGAAAGTTTTTTTCTTTTGAGTCACTTATTTCTATAATTTCTTTGGTATTTGGATTTTTGTATACGTATTGTTTAGGCATTCCAGAGATTATGTGAATATTGGTTTCATCACTATAGATAATTAAAAAACCATTTACTAACTCATACCTACGTTATTATATCTAGCAAACTTACCATTTTTTGTTTTGTTTTTGTATACTACTACTAATAATATATATATTGGATAATTTTATTTATACTTGATTTGAATTAACTGTAGACTAGAGTAGACTAGAGTAGCAATTCGTTTATTCATTTTAACGTGAACATTTAATCATGATAACACGTCTTCTTTTGTAGTTATTTCAACTGATCCCCCATTGGCTTGTTCCAATAAGAAAAAAATTCAATAGATAAGTCATACTAAAGATATGGTAGTACAAGTGAAGTTTAGAATATTATATTCAGATATATTTGAGTTCTGATACCTAAAATAGAGATTATTCATCAAATGTTGATTTCTACAATTAATATCAATAATATAAAAACAAGTTAATAATGTGATTGTATATTAATAAATTATTGCTAGATTATCTCAATGAATCGTTAGTAAAAAATACTTGGAAGCACCTTATTTGATTCGAGATACAACAAAATAAAACCATTTGGTTCTAATGAAAGTATGCTATCAATTTGTTACAACGTCAAGATGTGAATCCAATGATCACTGGTCAAGATTAAAACCTAATAACATTGCTGGTAAATACTTGAAGTAACATCAAGAGAAATTATATATTTTTTTTTGTTATATCGACAAAATGAGTGGCAATGAAATTCAAATGACTATATGCAGGAACGTTTGTCATAGAAAACAGAATGTTCCTATATATGACTCTTATATACAGTATTGACGTTTAATAGTAATTATCATATTATACAATTAACTAGATTTAGACTCATATTAAGTGAAGGTTCGTTATAGTAATAAGCTTAAAGTAATATTCATTCCTGTTGTTGGTATCATTATGCTTTATTTATAACCCTTTTGCCGCGTCCACTGATTATTATCCAACTTGCGTTATATTAAGAACTGCGTTAGTTGGGTTTCCTTGGATCAGTTAACAGCTTAGGGTTTTACTGTGTGACAAATGTACACGACTAGTATTTATATTTAAGGATAGCCAACATCACCAGAAAAAGAACTACCGTTAAAGTTCACTTTTTTCTTTTAGAAAGTAGAATCCGCTTACGTGGTACTTGGAAATATGCATTTGGGATGTCTATAATTGTGCTATACGCCGCCCTCAAGGCGTCTACTAACCATTCAATTTATTATTTCTAGCATGTTGATTATGTTTATAATTGATTATTTAATATACTGGTATTCTTTTTTAGTTTCTTTATTTGAAATACATCATTGTAGATTAGATATAATTACTTCGATGTGATTATCGTTTCTCTGGTAGAATTTGATCCGTAGGAGATATTTTCTTGAATTCTAAAGAGAAGTATGAACATTATATTGTTCTAAGTGTAATTACAGTAATGTTTATGGATTATATTGCTTAATCTATATCTCTTGCTAGGGCATTCAACTCCACGCAGTCATGACATCTAGATTTCTTAGATATATATAGTAGCCTGGTGAATGAACTTCGGTATGCAAAATTATCCTAGTTACTAGATATAACTATCATTGGTGATCAATGATCTTGGTCTCGGAATTTTTTCACCTGAATTCTGGTAATTATTACAACAATGTAATCATAGTACTATTATATAAAAATTACAACGTCCCGTTGTTGTATAGTCAGAGTCGATACGTTGATGAAATACTGATTTGTGAATTGTAGAATAACACCAGATTAATTCCTTGATTATTCGTTAATTAAAAATCTACAGAATCCAGAGAAAAACAGTCTACTTTCCTCCTGCTTCTATATTCTTTCTTTTGGAAAACATTCTGATTACTCGTCGACACATCTCTACAACTTGCAAGTACTCCCCGCATCCACTCTTACACTCAGTTTGATAGTTTAGTTATGTATTATTCACATGTATTCCACATATCCTCGAAGATTCATCGAACTTCGGTCTCTATCACAGGAAAATGAGGTCCGAGGCATATTTCCGTTAACCGGAGTACAGTTAACAACACTGAATACAGCCATCAGCTGTGCTCAACCATATTAGTCCCCGAGAAATTATCCGTAATTAAACCGGACATACTCTTCCGATGCCTGGTCATATCATACAAAAGTGTAAGCATTTCATCACTATATAAAGGAAGTCAATTGTCCACAATTTTGAAAATAAGTAAAAACTAATTAAAAGCTCCACTGTACATGTAAAAGTAATAAATACAATATTACTACGTGACTAAAGTTCCCCTTTATATATTATGTTGCTAACGTATTCTTATAAATGAATTCTAGCAATTTTTATAAATACTAATTTTAATATATATATCTATTAATAGTTTATACTTGTGAATTCCATTGTAAATTAGTTTCGTCTTGATAAACGCATCCTCCTGTTTAGCACCTGTAATTTTAAGCAGAGGTTGGTACAATATTACCTATGAATAATAGTGCTAGTATTGCAAGTATTAACAATATTACAATACCTAGTTTATTAACTCAAATACTGGGTTCAGATTCAGATACCTTGTAATAACTTGAGTTGAAGCGGGAGTGAAAAGGATATCATCTATTATTATTAATAGTATTATATCATATATTCAAAAATTATGCTAACCACAATCGGGATATCTGTATATTATGAGGTTTATTATTCTTTTCGTAATTTATGATTCCTTGATAATTGCAAATTCAAATCATTCTATTATATTATAAACTGTAAATAACATACACAGCTAGTAATATGATACTAAACATAGTTATGCCAGTTTTCTAGTACTTTACATTATCACAGGAGCCAATGATAATACATTACTAATTAACGATAACATGACGAGTGATATTCTTGTAACCCTGGATTAACATCTAAATAATTATTAGCAAGATCTGAATCCTCTTTCAAGACGTGATGTAATAATAACCATTCTTTACTACCATTTTCAAGTAATAATTTAAAGTATACACCTCTTGCTGTCTTTCTGTGTCTTAA